TTTCCTCATTAACATATATTTCCTTCGCGGTTTGTATACTTAGGAAAAAATTAAAAGAAGAAAGAAAAAGTGCACACTAACACACAGCTGAACACGTTTATCACCGCCAGCGCAATAAAAAAACCTGCAGTTAGACAATATGGTGCCAGTGACGCAATGAACTTGTAAGTCCCAAATGTCAGCTACGTTATTTGCAGTCAGTGGGTTGACAGGGAGGGGCCAATCTTGCCCTAAAGACATGAGTCTCCTTATAGTTAAGCCATATGACTTGGGCTCTGAAGGTCAAGGGTTCGATTTCTGACTTCTGAAGATTCCTGGGGGTTGACGCCGAAGAAGGGGACTCTGTGAAACAGTGTGCGCTGAAATCATAGTGACCTATGTTGCTGTATCTGCCACATATCGTCACGATGCATCAAAGCAAATTCTAGAGCACGTCTAACAAGACTGCAGACATTGCCATTCAGAGATCTGGTCCATGGGACCAAGATACTGATGAATACTGCAAGCCCTCTGCCCTATTTTGGACTCATGCTAGAAGGGATACTTTCCAGTAGTTTGCCATTGCTTTCTGGACAGTCGGCTTTCTTGATACCATTGTCGAAACCAACGCAAGGTGCATGGCCACAGAGTCGACCCAGAGTCCACTACTGTTTTTAAATTACACCAGTTAATCTTTTTTCTTATAAACAAAAAGTATGTAGCAGGTCCTTTGCAGCACGTCACTCTCATCACAGTCTGCCTGAGAAAAAACTCGGTCTCTCACCAGTTCTCTCACCTGTACTTTCATACTCAAGGAGTCACTTATATCCTGTGCCCATCTTCATGTCGGTCAACCCCTGCCCCTCCTTCCTGGTACCATGCCTTCTGCTATAATTTTTTCCACTCCGTCGTGGCCCTTGATATGACCAAAATATTTCAGCCTCCGAGATTGGATGCTGTTTTTTATCCAAATATATTGACATTTAATGGAAACCTAATATGAAACAATATCCAACAAAACTGACTTGTTATAAGTATCCATGTTTTATTTCAAATATAAATAAATACAATCAAGAAATGTTAACACACAATAAATACAATCAAGAAATGTTAACACGGAGCAGTTTTCTTTTCACAGTATTCACAGTAATATTGGTTAACTTTAACGCCTGGGGAAATTGGAAGAAAGAACTTGTGCTGCTGTTATTTTTATTTGCACTTCTTTGTTTTGGCTGGCATACTGTTGATCACATCACCCATCGAGTTTCGACTGGTCTGCAAATTTTATATAGGCCTAGCCCTATAAGCCCAATATGCCAGAAGGCATGGAAAAGGGTCCTTTACTGTTATTTCTTTGTGTACATGCCAAGACCATCCTACCCCAAAGTAGAAATATATAAGAGGTTATCAACCTGATAGTTCAGATGCAAAACATGGAACAATATTTTGTCACTTTGCAACATAAGTTTCATCAACATCATCCTGCTATGCCTTTATATGTAAAGTGGGGCACAGTCTTCTCCTCTGCTCCAGTCTATCCCATACAGTCTTTTTAATGTCACCGAACATGGTCCAGCACCTTTAGCCTCTCTTATCAATGTTCTCTTAGGGTTTCTCTCAGACGTCTTCGTTTGCTCAATCAAATTGAAGCACACTTTAGATGTCAAATCTAGAAGCATGTTACAATAATTAAAAAAAAAAACAAGCAGGGAATGAATTAGTCGGACAATGCTCATAATTGTGTCTTCTGCGAACGAACAACTCATGCGCAAGAAAAGGGTCTTGTTTTATTTCAGAAGTTTCTTTCAAACATAAAATTTGTCATCACAGATAGATTAACATCAACATGACTGTATCAACAAAGTAAGCAATGTTTTCAAGATATCCAGTTTCTAAACTCAAACCCACAGTTCAGTTTTATCTCCCCAGTTCCTGCTAATAAAATGTGTTGCACTGATTTCACGTAATCAGTACAACAGTACAAGAACAATACATTCATATAATTTTTGTACACAATATCACAAAGGCAACACAGTGCATGTCCCACATCATACAAGCTTCAGTGAACCTGTCAGAAGTACATATTAAAGCATAGCGCTAGTGTCATAGTCAATGAAATTAAAAACACACCAGGAGAACAATTCCTCACCATGAGAAAGAAGCAAATATGTATTCTACCAAAACTATCAGAAGGTTAAATTAGCTGAAGACTTAACCATAAACAAATTTAAAAAAAAACATACTTTCAGGCAAAATTCTACACTTGGAGGCACTACATGCAAGATGCAACAACAAAAAGAGAAACCTAAGGAAAATGACCACAAGCTTCAAACTACCAGCATGGAAGCCATGTGATTACAGAAACAGTTACAATAAAGCAGCTAGAAGAAACAAGAAGAAATTAGGAAAGTGTTTTATTTTAGGTCTAGTAAGATCACACTAGAGATGTCCGCTCTACAGAAGGGAGTCATTACAGCTTTGAAGGGAAGAAGAAAAATATACCTTAGTTCTTGAAGATAAAAATAACATTGAAATTAATCTGTTAGAAATGTTGTTACTACTGAAACTGAACTATAGAATTTACTGCCCTAGACAACTTTACCGGACCCGACAATCATTCAATGCTTCATCAACCATTGGTCACAGTTTCTAAGCAAAAAAGATACAACTGGTGATTTAATGCCACTCACTGAATTTTTTTTGGGGGGTTTTCTTAAATATATTTGCTTATTTTCAAAATTGAAGATTTAGGATTATGAAACTTGATTTTATTATCTTAGCAACACATGTAGAATAAAGCATTCCATAAGAGTGCAACCACAAACAATACAACTGCTCCAAAATACTGAAATGATTTCTTAGAAGAAACTAAATAACACTGCAGACTTGACTGACTTTCTACCCCACTAAGACATCAAACAAGCGATAAACACCCGATGACACAAAGTGCCACCATGCGGATGAGGATCGCCGTGGAGAGGTCCCAGAAACCGCGTTCAGACAATTGGCCACATTTATGGCCTGCCTATATTGCGGCCCCTGGGAAAAGCCAGGGTGGGGCTTCAAATAACAAAAAATTTCGTCCTAAAAAGGACGAAGGAGTTACAATATACTGTAGACTTAAGATTTCTTCTAAAACATATATGTGGGCAGCCTAAAAAAACAGAATACACCAATTACATAAGCGATAATAGTAGTTAATGATAATGCAAACATTCCCACTGCCATATTACAATAAATACACTCTAAAAATAAAGCAAAATATAATTCTAATTCATTGCAAACCAATCATTTACCTAATATCTAACAGTACATTTGCATTGCTTCAAAGATAAAATGTATTAACTGTACACAAGTTAAAATACTACAATAAAGACCACACATGATAAATGCAAGGGATATTTACAAATGAACAAACAACCCATTAGTACTTCTTGGAGGCAAATTAATATGATCAATTATGCTCTTTATTATATGAGTATGTATGGGGGGAAAAAATAGCTATGGGAAGAAAGACAGAAAGCCAGAATCAGTAGCTTGTAAGATTAAAATAGTGTATCTATACGTAATGGGCTAGTGAGCAAGTCACACTTAGTTTATTCCTCTCTGTTGTAAAAACCAAACATCACCAATTAATTTATTCCTTTCTGCTGTAAAAGATAAAACATCACCACTCAATTTATTCCTTTCTGCTGTGAAAGATAAAACATCACCACTTTATTCCTCTCTGCTGTAAAAGATAAAACATCACCACTTTATTCCTCTCCGCTGTAAAAGATAAAACATCCCCATGAAATTAGTGTTTTAAATACTAATTAGAAGAATCTGAAAAAACAAATCAACAACCAAACAATTATGCAAGCAAATGCAGTAAATGTTTTCATAGCAAGAACTGTTTCAGAATATATGGAGGATGGCAAGGAGAGGGGCAGTGGATGTGAATTGTAACACTAATTGCTGTTTTAGAAAGTGTTGTAAAATCTATAATTTCAATTTGGTTGCAAACTTGATGACATAAAAATCAATCTTGCAGAGTTCATTAGCTCCGTGTTCATTAAAAAAAATTGTCCTGAGCAAGTATTCAACGCAGAATTGCTAATGGGAACAATCTAACGTAGATGATAGAAGTCAAATGTCACTAAGACAGTATCTGGCAGTATCCTCAATGAGCATTTAATAAGCTTATGATGCTGATTGATAAAATGATAGGGGTAGGGTATTAAATGAACAAACTAAGGTAAACAGCATATGATGTTAAAATAATATTGAATATCTAACTCACCCACTTAACACAGACAAAATCAAATAATAACATAATACTTATTAGGATGAGGTGAATATTTTCTGTGGAAAACCCTTTGGCATAATACAGCACAATTATCAAGGCATTAGTAAAGAATAGATCACAAGTTATTATTAACACGTGCAAGTTCTGACACCTGCTGTCATTAACAAATGCATTGATCAAGATAACAATAATCGTTTTAAGTTGCGTATGTACATCAACAGTATAGCTGTCTATAAATGCATTCACACCTGCAGAAAGACCAACAGGCTCTGAGGCTGAGTAACAGCTGCTCTTTTATTCAGGATAAAACAGCAGTGATCTAAAACTGTTTCATGAATGATAGATTCTCTTTCACAATACCCGATAAGTCAAATGTAACTGATCATGAATTGTGAATTTCAGTATCGAGAAAGAACATTCCAGGCATTTGCTTACTAGAGCTTGGTTTTTGTTTTGTAAACTTCACAATGCCCCTCCCTTATTTTGGAAATTTCAGTAGTTTAATGTTAAAATGGAAATAAAAGCCAAAAGGTTTTGAACCTTAACATGCTTTTCTAGAAAATGAATTGCCATTTTCATTTGTCACTGAGGAAGAAGCCCAGTTTTTTACAGCTTCTGTACTGTTATCTCCACTGGTGTCTGTGTTTTTCCTTGAGTACTCTCTCTCTCTCACATGCCCACACCAAATCAATGAGCATCACACTAAGATGACAAGCAGGCAATTCACAACAGTCTAAGCCCTGACGGACACTGTTTCTTGTGTGGTCAGACTATGTTGGCTGCTGTCTGTAGGCAGAGGTTTCAAACTGCGAAGTCTTAAGGACACTGCTGCTGTCAAAGCTGCACCCTTCCCACTGCCATCATGTGACAAACTCAGCTTGAACTGTGAAAGATTTCAAAATCAGTTCAGTACACAGAACATTTTCAGCTTCACTGAAATAAAACTTTAAATATTTTAAAATAATGTAACATCCATATAAACCTATTATAATAATATGTGAGAAAGCCCTAACAAACACAGACAGTTAAATATCAGCACAATCATGCAGATTTAATCTCAAGGAGAGCAATAGTGGGGTTTGACCCAGCTTCCTAAAACTAATACCAGAAAGTGCTCTAGGCTTGCCTAGAGGAGGACAACATAAATCTGCCTAGAGAAGGACAACATAAATCTGCCTAGAGGAGGACAACATAAATCTGCCTAGAGGAGGACAACATAAATCTGCCTAGAGGAGGACAACATAAATCTGCCTAGAGGAGGACAACATAAATCTGCCTAGAGGAGGACAACATAAATCTGCCTAGAGGAGGACAACATAAATCTGCCTAGAGGAGGACAACATAAATCTGCATAGAGGAGGACAACATAAATCTGCAGGACACATAAATCTGCCTAGAGGAGGACAACATAAATCTGCCTAGAGGAGGACAACATAAATCTGCCTAGAGGAGGACAACATAAATCTGCCTAGGGAGGAAAACATAAATATGCTTATATCCTTTGTGTGGCATTCAAGAAGATTACTTTTAAATCACTTTATACCCATTCAGTAGATTTTAACACTGACAGTGGTAGTAGATTTTTACCCCACTAGGACATCACACAAGCGATAAACACCCGATGACACAAAGTGCCACCATGTGGATGAGGATCGCCGTGGACAGGTCCCAGAAACCGCCTTCAGCGATTAGACCATATTTATGGTAGGGCTATATTGCGGCCCCTGGCAAGAGCCAGAGTAGGGCTTCAAATAACGAAAAATTGCTAGGAAATGACTTTTTAAACAAACCTAACAAAAAAAATGCTTATCACACGGATATATATATATATATATATATATATAATATATTATATAAATATACTGACATAACACCTTGACTTTAAACTCAAGTCGTTAATATAATATATATATGTGTATGTATATATATATACACACACACACACACACACATATATATATATATATACATACATACATATATATATATAATACAATTATACATATAGATCAATAACATGTTTGAACTTACCTTCAGTCCAGGTTTAACCAATTCCTTAATCTTCAGGCACATCAGGTTATGGAAACGGGGATGGAACCTGTACAAGGAGCCATCAACAGCAATTGTCATGTCTTGTTTATTGAGACGATTGATCAATGTAGCCAGGCCTGCGAGAAATCATATATTTAGATAAGAAAATGACTCATCTGCTCACAAATAAATAAATGTTCAATTTCAGATAATTCAGAGCTAAATGTTGTGTATTAACAAAATGAAATGTTTACACTGAAAGTTAAACAACATAGAATAGATAACTTTATATCTTGAGGCAGAAGCAAAGAAAATAATCACATTACAAAGTTAACACGTTTTTATTATTATTGTTATTTACAACCGAAAAACTGAGAAATTCATTATATATTAACTATACATTCATCACCAACACCATGTATGTGATCGTGTCTACTGTCACTGTTAATACCATGAAATAAACCTACTACCTAACAGACATTACGTTCCTTCTTCAGACTAGCAACTACCCTTGCTAAAAATTAAAACTTTAAACAAAAAATGGGGGGAGAGGGAGGGAGGTGCTCAAACAATTTGCCTCAAGCACTGAAGGTTGTGGGTTCGTTTTTATGGCTAAGCAATTCGGTTCATGACTGCATTTATTAGGGAGACCTCTTGGGATTATCACCAGAATTAGGCTATCCATGTTTTGTACTATGCTCTCAGAAGGCAGCCAGCCATTTTCTGTGGAGACAGAACAAATCATATGGGATAAAACCCAGTGCAGTGAAGCCACTCCTCTTAACTTTAACCTTGCTAAAGATGATCCAGATCTCCCAGACCTATAAAACTATATTTGACAATTCCTTTGCCACCAGCATCATCTAACTAGATATAGCTGATACTGCCAAATTAAAATACTTCAAGAAGTCCATCTTGCTGAAGTTTAATTTTTTCTGATGAGCTGATACTGAATATGCTTTTGTTCCCTCAATCTCTCCGACAGAGTGTTTTTAATTCTCCAGCCTTTAGAGTTTTCAAAAACATGTATTATTTGGGAACTGTTACTATAAAGAAACCAGAGACTAAGCCATTTGTAAGCTGATTTAACTGGCTTTTAAACTTCTGTGAAGCTTCATAAGCCAATTTAATCTGCTTTCTGCACTTTGAGGAATCAAAAGACAATTGATTTACAGCTTACAATTCACAATTTAAGTTCAATACTTACCAGCTGCAGCGAGGAAGGCAGCTCGAGCTGAGATTAAAGTGCAAACATATTTTACAATCTTGCAGTCTTCTGTTGTATAATTTTCTACTTGTAGCTCATCCAGAACTTGTTTTGTGTGTCGGAAAAATTCATCTGTATCGCTGTAAACACAATAATAAAATTAGTGCATGTTCTATTAAAAATATTTACAGATTTTGAAAAACAAGGTCAAATTATTAATAACAGCAAATTAACATAAACTTGCTTAAGAAGAACACTCGGTTAACATGAATAAAACTGGTTTCAGCAGAGTTGTATAATTGACAGACCCCGGGTAGCACACATTCTTTTAACATGAACTTTTGATGTTTTGATCCCTTGGAATTCATATTAATAAGGTTTTACTGTACTACAAAAGTATACTTTTTAGAAACATTCCGAGGTTTAAAAAAAATGCATTCTCATGACCTTATCTAATGAAATGTAAAAGATAAATATTGCAGGTCTTTAACTGTTTTGACAAAATAAGATGGTGAAAGTTACAAAAAATGGATCTTATATAAAAATAAACAAAACTAGAAAACTTTTGGAATACTGACCTTTCAATTTCTGAAACATACTTAGTGTAGAATCTTCCCCGCTCAAATAGGGCACTTTCATGATCCACACTCCTAAAGAGCAAGCCCTCATTAGCAAGTCTTTCCAGCACGAGTCGGACAATCTCACCCATGTACATGCCCGAAATCATTTTCTCCATCCTAAAATAAAATTATATTATTTATTATAGGTACATTTAGACAAAAATATTTTCTATAGACATAAGGTCATTGGGGGAAGGGGAAGAGGAAAAAAATGGGTGGAGATACCAACTACCTCTTAACAAGTATATTGTAATAAGCGACTAAAAAGGAAATGATGTTGGTCTGAAAGGTGCAGATTTATCAGCCTAGCTGTAAACTACAACACAATGCATTTTAAAGGTGAATGCAGAAACAGATTTTCTTAATGTGCTGATGACTGATCTAGTAAATGCTTTAGCATTCAATAAGTAAGCTTTTTTCCCTGTCCATACTATTAACTGTCCAAAACCCTTTCAAATTAAGTTCTTACTTTCTCCTTATTCCACTGTTTATTTTATAACACTGAAGCCATTCAAATCAGCCTACCCAGATAGACTTCATGCATGCATACAGTATGTTCATATCTATATCACTACAAATGAGCTTTGTCCATAATTCTTTGGTATGAAACGACAACAGACACAAGTCTTCATTACACCTGGTTGGGTACTGATGATTGTGGCTATTGTAAAAAGATTCAGGAGCAGTAATAAAATAATTGCCCACATCATATGCATTATAGATGAGAAACCCAACCCAGTTGTGATCAATAACTTGTATTGATTTATAACGCCAGCAGTGATATTTCTGTGTGCTTCATGTTATGTTTGCAACTTTCTTTTTCACACACTGTGGTACAAATTGATTTGATACATAGTAAATTAGGCCATGATTTAATGAGCATACAAATAAAGAAACATACAGATTATTTCTTTAAAAGAAAATGGCAGAATATAAAAACTTTACAAAAGCAATCAATACTGTCATTAGTCTCGGAATATACAAACAGACAAAAATGGGGAAGGGAAACACCAGCACAAACTAAATGCATAGAATATTATTTTACCCAAACAAAACTATAACCCCATTAGCCAAATGACAACATATACAAGAGATTTTAAGTGACCTAATTTAAGTGCAGCAAGCGAGCATGGACAGATTTGGTGCCAATAGTCTGGTTTTCAAGAAACCTAGTTATGGGCTACAGTACACCAGGCCCTGTGTGATCACAGCATAAGCAAAATCCTCAACATATCAATGGCACTTGAGTGATTAACTATTGCAAGTACTGTGATTATGCACAATATTTGATAGTTTGTTTGAACAATGTACATATGCACATAGTTTGTGTACACATACTTAATTATCTGTTCCATCACATATTAACATTTGACAAACAAATAGACAATAAAAACCAGCCACATCTTAAACAAATAAAACAAGAGAAAATAAAAACAAACATGAGAACAAAGAGTCTGACAAAAATCTAACTGTGACTGGTAAATCATTAAAACCCCCGGAAATCATGCAATACAAACAGGCACAACACAGGAAGTAAAATGCCAGGATAAATAATGCCAATTAGGTTTCCCGCTAAATACATTATTTATGGTCACAGCATTTTCTGCAGATCATGTTGGCAGCAGTCCAATTAAGGAAAGTTAAAGCTATCTAAGTCCAACTGTTGCACAAACTGGTGCAAATATATAATGAAGCAGCTAGCACATTTGCCTACAAACCCAGCAGTCATGTGTGTAAATTCAGATTCAGGTTAATTAGAAAAAATAATAATTTAATCTATCATCCCAAGTTGACCCAGCCTAAAATAGGCCACAGGAAATGTCATGGGAAGTAAAAACAACCAGCACTAAGCTGGCCCCATCACCCATCAAGTGCTGATTGGTCATATTCGGAAGTTCTAATGTGCCTCGGGTATGGAATAAGAGGCCCTTTACTTTTAGCTTACATATAAAGAAACAAGAAATAAGAAGAAAAAAATGTATGTCACTATTCTTTTCCCATGAATATTAAAGGCAAGCAATGACAACAAGTTACACAACTGAGGAATTATCAGTTGGAACAAGAGATAAAACTTACACTTGTTTGCCAGGATTGATAGAGAAAGTATCCAGTTCTCTATCATACTCTGTCCTCGTGAACTCCAAGCAACCATTGTCCCCGAATGCTCCCCACTCTGTGTTGATAATAACCTAGGGAAGATAAGAAAGGATTGTCTTCCAGTTTGTGGCTACATGAACAATGAACAGTATCATGTGCATAAGCATTCAGACCTTTTGATTTACCGTGCCATGTCAGGGACGTTGTTGAAATGAAGAAAGGTTAAACAAGTGTAGAAAGAACTAAACAATGTTTGCCAAGTTTAGCCCCATATCTATGAGTCATGAATACAAGTTCCTACTATTACTACTGTGTTCCCCATGTAGGTTTTGAGACCATGTTTTGGGGGGGGGGGGGGGTAATAAACTAACTCACTGACCCACCCTGACAAGCATGTCGTAAAAAGTCACTAGAGGTTTTCTGAAATTTAATTTTGGGTCAGATAATGCAGCCAAACTGCAAACCACAACAAATATGCTGTATGCGCTTTTAAAGGGTGAATGCAGAATTAAAAACTATGTATAGGACCAGCAAGCTTGTCTCAGATTTAAATAATAATGATATTCAACTTTTTTGGCATTCATCTAAAAACAACAGCAACACTCCAGCCCAAGCCTTGATCAGAATGCCATGTTCATTGCCCTTTGTATAATTATTCTTTATATAATTTTCTTCTGTTCCCAGTGATAAAAGTTGCTGATGTTAAAGAGTTATTAAATATAGGTTAACGTAGCTGAGTTATTGTATTTATAGGTGTTAGTCTTCTGCAAACTGTCGTAATAATATAGTGCAATGTGGGTTTGACATAAGCTCTGGCTGTTTTAGTCTTTTGCAAACTTTCACAATGATACAGTGTGATGTGGGTTTGAAATTAACTCTGATGGTTTTAGCCTTCTGCAAACTTTCACAATGATACAGTGTGATGTGGGTTTGAAATTAGCTCTGATGGTTTTAGTTTTCTGCAAACTTTCACAATGATACAGTGTGATGTGGGTTTTACACTAGCTCTGATGGTTTTAGTCTTCTGCAAACTTTCACAATGATACAGTGTGATGTGGGTTTTACACTAGCTCTGATGGTTTTAGTCTTCTGCAAACTTTCACAATGATACAGTGTAATGTGGATTTAACACTAGTTCTGATAGTTTTAGTTTTCTGCAAACTTTCACAATGATACAGTGTAATGTGGATTTAACACTAGCTCTGATGGTTTTAGTCTTCTGCAAACTTTCACAATGATACAGTGTGATGTGGGTTTTACACTAGCTCTGATGGTTTTAGTCTTCTGCAAACTTTCACAATGATACAGTGTGATGTGGGTTTTACACTAGCTCTGATGGTTTTAGTCTTCTGCAAACTTTCACAATGACACAGTGTAATGTGGATTTAACACTAGCTCTGATGGTTTTAGTCTTCTGCAAACTTTCACAATGATACAGTGTGATGTGGGTTTTGCACTAGCTCTGATGGTTTTAGTCTTCTGCAAACTTTCACAATGATACAGTGTGATGTGGGTTTTGCACTAGTTCTGATGGTTTTAGTCTTCTGCAAACTTTCACAATGATACAGTGTAATGTGGATTTAACACTAGTTCTGATGGTTTTAGTCTTCTGCAAACTTTCACAATGATACAGTGTGATGTGGGTTTAACACTAGTTCTGATGGTTTTAGTCTTTTGCAAACTTTCACAATGATACAGTGTGATGTGGGTTTTACACTAGCTCTGATGGTTTTAGTCTTCTGCAAACTTTCACAATGATACAGTGTGATGTGGGTTTTACACTAGCTCTGATGGTTTTAGTCTTCTGCAAACTTTCACAATGATACAGTGTGATGTGGGTTTAACACTAGTTCTGATGGTTTTAGTCTTCTGCAAACTTTCACAATGATACAGTGTAATGTGGGTTTAACACTAGTTCTGATGGTTTTAGTCTTCTGCAAACTTTCACAATGATACAGTGTAATGTGGGTTTAACACTAGTTCTGATGGTTTTAGCCTTTTGCAAACTTTCACAATGATACAGTGTGATGTGGGTTTAACACTAGTTCTGATGGTTTTTGTCTTTTGCTGTGGATTTGACACTGGCTCTGATGCAATCTCTAAAGAATATAATCATCTCATGATGTCTGTATAAGTTTAATCCTGTTTCAATTTTTAAAATTTTCATTATCTTGTACAATAGAATGTTTGTTAACTTTGCAGCTTCTTTCTATATACACTTTAGCAGGTTGACTGTTTGTAATGTTTATGGAATGTCTAAAATTGTAATAAATAAAGAATTTATTATATATGTATGTGTGTATATGTTTGTATATGTATGTATATGTATGCATCTATATATATGCGTGTGTGTGTGTGTGTGCATGAGTGAGTGCGCGCAAACACACACATACAAAATCATTTTTCATTTAGTGTCTTTGAAGATATTTCATTTACCAACTTACTTTATAAATATTAAAACAGTGATTTGATACACAGCAAAAGAAACAGTTATGCTAAAGTTGACTTGCATAATTTCTTCAGAACATCAAAAGCCGACCCCAACCTTTACTTTCCGAATGTGATTTTACTAGGTAATTTTACGTCCAATATTTTGCCATCGCCTCCTAGGTGGTTGGTGCTCCTTTCATTGTCAAAATCACTGAAAAGAGGTCTGCTTCAAAACTGCTTGCAACTGACTTTGATGTATATCAGGATCCTAAAACTGCATTCACAACCCATAAGCCATACGTTAACTCTTTCAGTTTGAGGTACGTGTTACTTAAAAGTAATTATTTCCGATAATTTCACTGTAACTTAACAATTTTTCTATCTGAAGATATTAAAATACACATTTTATGAGACTAAAAGGGTTAAAGTAACAAGAGAGAGAGAGAGAGAGAGAGAGAGAGAGAGAGAGAGAGAGAGAGAGAGAGAGAGAGAGAGAGAGAGAGATTGAGAGGGGAAGAGGAGAGAAAGAATAAGTCAATGTAACAATTGGACACAGCTCACACACAACTATTAAAGTAAATTATAAACATAGGTTTCAACATCATGAAACAGTATTCACATCTCTGGCAAGGCTAACCCAGTCAACAAATGCATGCAGAAATCAGATGTGCCAGGTGAAAGGCGCAAGTATCACAATTACTTCTTCGGATGAACACAGAGTTAAAGATCAGTTTCAAATTTCTGACCAAGAGAACAACATCTTCAAGTGGTCATGACTTGAATACTGTGTAGATTAAAGGATCAAAATAGAGGAGTACTTTACTGGGCAAATAACAGATAACTTTCCACAAGTTGGGGCTGAAAAGATAATGCGACCTGATTAATGGCCTGATATTGTGACCCCTTTATCAGCAAGGTCATGGGAAAAAATGTAATGCTCAATTCTGTATGCTAATGTGAGAGGTCATGGTTGTCACCTTTGACTGCCCATATACTGTCATTACTTGTGAAATACTATATTTACAATATTTGGCATGCATTCACTACAGGTAAGAAATCAAGTATGGGTCTACTAGATATCATACAGACCTTCTAAATTTTGAATACATTAAAACCAGGACAAAGAATGAAATGGTGTGGCCATCTAGTGAAAACGTAGCCAGGCCAAAATGCATGTGAGACTTTTTACAGCAGAACATCTGGGATGAAGGCAAGAGGAAGACAAAGAAAGCTATGGATAAATGGTGTAGTCGTAACCTGTAAAAAGTTGAACAAATCCATCACCAAAGCCACCTGAAAGGCACAGACAAATACAGAAACCACGACACTGCGCTTCAACCTGAAATCAGTGAGACGACAAGAGAAGAAGAAGCAGACAACCAGGAAAGCTAGCCCAGGCAATTAAATGCCTGTAGACGTTGGATATGTTGGCTGACAGGTGCAAATACTGCAGTGATGCTGTGAACTGGGACAACATAATTACATTCTCGGATGACAGGAGAAGAAGCAGAAGAACAAGAGTTACACTGAATTTTGAGAGATGACATAACAGCACTTGGGACGATCCCATAAGTGCTATGTACCCCTTCAGTGTTTAAAAAAAAAAACATAGAATGCTGCTCCTCTTTGGTGCATGTCACAAGTGGGACGGCCATCTGCAAACTTTCATTATGATGTCACAATGGTTGATTACATAGTGATGTTGTGTGCTTAACATTCTTGACATCGTTAACAACAATAGAGACAGATTATAAGACAATGGCATGATTATTGTAACCTCTATCACACTTTTAGGGTTTTCAGTTGAAGCGTCCAAGTAAATACAGTATCCTCTATAGTCTAGTCCAGTGTTCTTCAACCATTTTTTGCAGACCACTAAAACATGAAAAATTGTTTTGAGGACCACCCGACAGCTAACGAAATGCCTATCTTCTGGCACTTAATTTTCAGGTGCAACGTCTTAGAGGCTGTGCACAAGGTAGTGGTGGAGTGATGTAACCAACCACATGTACACAAAATTCAAGAGCCATGTGTACCTGTGGAGAGGTGCTCCAGACAGCAGAGCATGTAGTCCAGGACAGCATTGAATTTGACACAATAAAGTACAACAGTGGAATGTAAACTCTATGGACCACTGAATGAACTAACAACAACAGTGGAATGTAAACTCTATGGACCACTGAATGAACTAACAACAACAGTGGAATGTAAACTCTATGGACCACTGAATGAACTAACAACAACAGTGGAATGTAAACTCTATGGACCACTGAATGAACTAACAACAACAGTGGAATGTAAACTCTATGGACCACTGAATGAACTAACAACAACAGTGGAATGTAAACTCTATGGACCACTGAATGAACTAACAACAACAGTGGAATGTAAACTCTATGGACCACTGAATGAACTAACAACAACAGTGGAATGTAAACTCTATGGACCACTGAATGAACTAACAACAACAGTGGAATGTAAACTCTATGGACCACTGAATGAACTAACAACAACAGTGGAATGTAAACTCTATGGACCACTGAATGAACTAACAACAACAGTGGAATGTAAACTCTATGGACCACTGAATGAACTAACAACAACAGTGGAATGTAAACTCTATGGACCACTGAATGAACTAACAACAACAGTGGAATGTAAACTCTATGGACCACTGAATGAACTAACAACAACAGTGAAATTTATACATGAGACAAAATTGCTGATATAAACAACTTATTTCAGGCAAACGAAAGAAGAAGAAGAATGTAACCAATACATGATTAGAGAGAAATATTTTTCGGTCCACCAGGGCAATTCTGTGGAGCACAGATGGTCTGTGGATGACCATTTGAAAAACACTGGTCTAGTCTAACTTGATATACAACAGTCCCACATTTTAAAACATTTTTTTAACCAAGCAACTCATTAACTAGCGTGCCAGTACATTTTCTTATTAAGGCAACTGCCATTAAAAAAAATAAAGGTAAATAGCTCTATCTCAAGTTCTAAGACATTAAGGGTAAACAGAGCTACCCACTATTTGTACAGACCCACTACCACTAAATGGGTGACGTTATCAATATCAAAAATGTTATCTGTTCTTGCCAGAACATTTCTTGTTACCCATTTTAAGCTCAAACAGTCTGGGAGAAATTAGCACTTAAATAACAACCTGCTGCAGAGAGGAATGAAACAAATGATGGGCAGGCAACATGCCGGCCACAACTGTTGCTGTGACGCCCAGTTGTTATATTCAGTATTGTAACCTCAATTCCTGTCCCATAGTACAATTTTGTTTATATGTGAATTACATTACAAATACAGAAGGAAAAAACCCAGTACAAAACAATGTTCTCGATACAAAAACAACACCAAGCTGCTGACATGCAAGGCAGATAATATGCTCACCTGTCTGGGATGATGGTCTTTTTCATCATCATGCTTCCAAGTACCCACATTATCCAGGTATTCCATGTAACAAGCATTGCAACCTGTGCCGAGGATAAGCCCGATCTCACAGTTACGATCAACGTGAGCAGCTGACATGAGCGTACCAACTGCATCATTAACAACTGCAACGATCTCCACCTTGCAGTTCTGTACAGCAACAAGCAACAAACAGATTACATCTCAGAATAGACAAACATTTACAGCAGCAACAAAAAATAACAAGTTCAATGTGGGATCTCTCACAAACGAAGGCCAAAATAGTGTTTCTCTCTTATCACCATCTATGTATGATCAGTGGAGGTTCAGTAGTTCATCATTGATTTCTGATTGACGCTCCATACCATAATCAAAATCAATGCAAAGCAGTTTCTTGCCAAACTGTCTGCAGCTTAATTTTAACTGAATATTTCTGCCTTACACAACACGTAAGCAACAGATGCTGACTTGTCAAAATAAGGTTGTTTATTATAGTAATTCTTTGTCAATGATTTCACTGTTATTTTGCTAAAGGTAAAGGTAATCCAACAGCAACAACTGGTGTAAAAGCAACTAACAGCTTCTAACTAGCTAAAAAAACAACAGAGAGAACCATCAATAACTGGTCAGCTTGAAATAATTGAAATAACATGAGAAATAATAAATTTATAAGCACTGATAGTCAGAGATAGAACCCTTCAAACCTCTAAACCAGTGATTTCACATCGCCCAAGGGAGCCGTGACTTCTTCACAGGGGCGTCACAAAATATTCGAAGATACACGAGTTTAATTTTTTTTTTAACCTTCTACATACGAATAGTCATACTTTTACTTAGGTTAGGGCGCCGCGGAAAAATTTTAATTAAAAAAAAAAAGCACCGTGACTAAGAAAAGTTTTAGAAACACTGCTGTAAAATGATGACAGGGCCTCTTAAAACACACACACACACACGACTTGTATCATGAATGACTTTAACATTCACTCCCTGTGTGGATTCTGGGACCCTACTGTCAGGGGAAAAGAACAGACCCCCCTCCCCCCAACAAGCATGTCATAAAAGGTGACTAATTAGGGGTGTTTCCTTCAAAGTCAAGATTGCATCTGTCTGAGAGATGAGGAACAAAAAGTCTGCATACAAATAAGTAAAATGGATTTGCATGCAAAACTTAAGTTATGGAACAAAACTACTGTCTAGAAGCGGACAAACAAACCAGAACTTTCAGCTGGAGTTTACAGCTGATGAATGTTCAGAGAAAGAAAAACTATCAAGACACTACAATTCCTATCTCAAAATGATGACAGGGTCTCTTTAAAAAACAAAAGACACAAACACAGGTGGCTTGTATTATGAATGACTTAATAATTCCAAAAATTTTATCAGCAGCCTAGTCTATCATTCTTACTATAACAAATGTTTAATGCATCAAAGTTTTTCACCCACTTGGTATGCAATATTTTCTTAGCCATGTGCAATACAGTGCATTACATTTTATGACTCACCAGGTTAAAGCAGCTAAATTGAAGCAACTAACAGCTAGGGCTTGCCAGATGGTTAAACATTATGAACTGTGAACTAACTCCAAAAAGAGGTAGTAATGCAAATAAGTGTGCGACAGATGTTTTCGCCTACAGTGGTTAAGACTATCATCATGTTCCTTGCCAAATGGCAAAGCATTTGTGCATCTCCACTCATCTCTGCCCTTGGTGTTCAGGAACAATTTTCCTAATAACAGCACACAGCAAATACATGCTATGTATACACTGCATCAGTACTGCAGTATTGCATCATGTAGCAGGTCCTTTGCAGAAACACTGCTCTTATCACAGTAAGCCGACAAGCCAGTAGCTGCAGTGCCAACTTTCTCACCTCCTTAACTTTCATCCTCGAGGTGACCTTGAGATCCTGTATACTGGTCAGTCCATATCTCTTAATTACGAATAACATACTCCCCTCGAAGGAAAAAAAAAAAAAAACTAGAAAATGCTACTGCTTAAAACAAAGACTTTAGTTATGATGCTTAAAGAAACGAGTTTAAAAAGTCATAGTTGCTTACCGTTCGTCGCTTCAGTGCTTCCTGTAACAGCTCACAGATATCTTCCCCCACCACACCCTCACAACGGAACCCTTTAGTCCATTTTGACAGTCGAGCTTTGGCCAAGCCTTCTTGTTGGCAAGGGAAAGAGAAGGTGAACCCCAAAGGAAGTGAATGGTTCAAAAGGTCGTGCTCGGAAACAAATTTGCCAATACAATCAGCGATGTGATCAAACAGCTATACAGAATGAAACAGAAAGTAATGTATAATATGCATGCTTAATATAAAGACTAAGCAAAAATAATATTATCTTTACAAGCATTTACGGGTGGCATATACAGTCATATTCCTCCACAACAGTCTGTCTTCTTCTTCTTCTTCTTAGCATTCACCAGCCATAAACTCCAGCGGAAAATTCTCACTGTTTGCCCACTTATGGACTCTGTCTTGAGTTTTGCATGCACATCCATTTTACAGATTAGGTTTATCTGTATGCAGACTTTTGGTTCCTTGCCTCAGTCAGATGCACTCTGACTTTGAAGGAAACATCCCTAATTAGTCACATTTAGGGACAGTGGGTCTACTCTTTGCTCTCCAAAACAGAGTCTAAGAACACACACTTGGGAGTCTGTCTTCTGTGTCCCTGATAAGTCTGACACATGATGTCTTTAGCAAATTCAACTAATTATCATTTACTAGTCATTATAATACATCATTGCTCTAATTACTGCACTATTCTAACACTCAACGTTTTAAATAAGCCACTGGTAATTAAGCTACTGACGTGAATTAGCACACATAAACACTAAGTCATAATTCTTACATAATAATGTTCTCAATAAGTTCACCAATCAGTACTGAATTCATTTATTACCCCGTCCTGTAACACACCACCTTATATATAGAATTACACATTTGTTAATTTTAAACTGTAATTAATCATGTTTGTAAATGATTATGCTCGTGCTGCTCTATATAAATAATGGAACAGTATTATTTCAGATGTTAAATAGATGATTCCCCAAAATATAATTTAAGGTCACAAAAGTTTAGACTGAGTTACAAGAAGTAACCGGAAAACTGAAATGACATAAATGTTACTTGTTTTTTTTACATTTTTCTTTAATATACTGGTCTATTAGCTTTATTTATTTATCTAACCTCAAAATAGTACTTTGAAATTTCAGCATGTCTATGCCAACCTAACTCACATGGTCGAAGTAGTACTATTCTGTTCAAGAAGTTATTATGTTCTGACAGATTTATGTTCTGAAAGATTTATGTTCTGATAGATTTTTGTTATTCTGGAAAGGGAGAAGTAGGGAGGGTTATTAGGGTTTGGTCCATAAAATGATTCCTCAGATAAAAAAAAATACATAGGTCACATCTAGTACTGTGATGCAAATTAGGGTATATGTAATGATCTTTGACAGGTCTTTCTTTTCCACACGAGACTATGTCAAGTATTTATACTAATTCGAAAATTCCTACCTGAGTTCCTGTGCCTAACATAATTCTCTGTGGAATCAAGTAGGTTTTGCTTTGAATATCAATCTCATGACCTTGAAGTCTGACCAACAACACTCGGAAATTAGTTCCACCCAAATCCAAGGCCAAAAATTCTCCATTTTCTGAAGAAGGAAAAAAAGAGAGAAAAAAAAGTTAGCTGGTAGTCAGCAGCTCATTAAGAAGGCATGATTCATTCTCTCAGCCTACTTTGTTTCCTGATTCAGCATGATTCATTCTTTAACTCTACTTTGCTTTCCCAATCCAGCATGATTCATTCTCACAGCCTACTTTGTTTCCAAATCCAGCATGATTAATTCTCTCACCCTACTTTGTTTCCCAATCCAGCATGATTAATTCTCTCAGCCTACTTTTGTTTCCCAATCCAGCATGATTCATTCTCTCACCCTACTTTGTTTCCCAATCCAGCATGATTCATTCTCTCAGCCTACTTTGTTTTCCAATCCAGCATGATTAATTCTCTCACCCTATTTTGTTTCCCAATCCAGCATGATTCATTCTCTCAGCCTACTTTTGTTTCCCAATCCAGCATGATTCATTCTCTCAGCCTACTTTTGTTTCCCAATCCAGCATGATTCATTCTCTCAGTCTACTTTGTTTCCCAATCCAGCATGATTCATTCTCTCACCCTAATTTGTTTCCCAATCCAGCATGATTCATTCTCTCAGCCTACTTGTGTTTCCCAATCCAGCTTGATTCATTCTCTCAGCCTACTTTGTTTCCCAATCCAGCATGATTCATTCTCTCAGCCTACTTTTGTTTCCCAATCCAGCATGATTCATTCTCTCACCTTACTTTGTTTCCCAATCCAGCATGATTCATTCTCTCAGCCTACTTTTGTTTCCCAAATCAGCATGATTCATTCTCTCAGCCTACTTTATTTCCCAATCCAGCATGATTCATTCTCTCAGCCTAATTTTGTTTCCCAATCCAGCATGATTCATTCTCTCAGCCTACTTTTGCTTCCCAATCCAGCATGATTCATTCTCTCAGTCTACTCTGTTTCCCAATCCAGCATGATTCATTCTCTCAGCCTACTTTTGTTTCCCAATCCAGCATGATTCATTCTCTCAGTCTACTCTGTTTCCCAATCCAGCATGATTCATTCTCTAACCCTACTTTGATTCCCAATCCACTAAAGACTGGCATTAAAATAGTAGAACAATTAGTAATTAATCTTGCTACATATCACAAATCACTGTGTGATCCTTTTTTGTGTAACTGGATTTATAATAAGAAAGTTATTCAGTAAATCCAAAATTGTTTAACTCACACATTACACCCCAAATAATATACTTACAAAAATGTAAAACATTTCTGATTTATTTCTCACTACACACATATTTTATCTGTAGTGTTCTTACAGTTGAATTCTTCATATATGGATAGTGGGTTACTAATTAACCAGCTTAAAGAAAATAAATTCAGCAGAATTAGTGCATTTAAAAACTTTCATGAGCTAAACTCAGTACAGCCATGAAAATGACCCTTGAACTTAAAACAGAAAGCTAAATTGGAGTTTGATCTCCTGTAACTAAAAACTTCTAAAGAAGAGTAGTGGATTTCAACTAAAAATTTCTTCTAAAGAAGAGTAGAGGATTCCAACTAAAAATTTCTTCTAAAGAAAATAGTAGATTCCAACTAAAAATTTCTCTAAAGAAGAGGAGTGGATTCCAACTAAAAATTTCTCCAAAGAAGAGGAGTGGATTCCAACTAAAAATTTCTTTTAAAGAAGAGTAGTGGATTCCAACTGACTGAAAATCACTGAAATAAACTACATAACAACTAAACACTTACCAGATCCATCTGGAAGAGATCTCACAAATGTGGGAAACATTTTAATATCTGCAACATGATGGGACTGCCCTTTCAATCCATTGTTCATTTCTTGATTCAGCAAAGTCATGACTCGCTTGTAGGCTGCACTAGACAGCTTGAAGCCCTTCACAAAGGCTTCAATCTGTTAGGGAAAAGAAAAAGGAAGGTAAATGATTACATCTAATAAGGAATTGGAAGACAATAACAGAGCAAACTACAGTTCACACCATTATGCTTCATAAAAAAAAAAATCTGGTCTGTTTTTTGTTGACATTTTTGTTTAATTTTCGCCCAAAAAGTCAATATTCATCCCTCCTCTGATGTGGCTGGCGAGGAGGGTCACAGAATGAATCTCACAACATAAGAGCTACTCGAGCTTCATAATAAGAGAAAGCTGAAGCAATAACAGAAATTTCACCAATCAAGGAAAAAGATAATGGGTCGGTTCCAAGTGCTGAAATTATGTTTCGCTGTCCATTTAGAGAAAAATGCAGGTTTACAACAAGAAACGGAACCTAAACATCGTGTTCTTCTACCTTCTATCTCCCAATGGAGCATATGTCTTTAACTTATGCCATGGTGTTCTATCTCCCCAGCTTCCTTCATGTGTTTCTTTCGTCTTCTTCTCTATTCCTATATGGGTTCCAGTGCAAAGACGTTCTTGTTTATTTTCTCAGATTTTTTTCAATGTGTGACCTATCAAACACCAATTCCTTTTTTCGCCTCTTGGTCCACTGGAACTTGTTTACTTATCTCCAAAAGCTCTACATTAGCAATTTGATAATACCATTTAGTTCCTTTATTCACTAGGCACTTGTTAATGAATGTTTGTAGTGATTTTAGTAACTGTGTTAGTTGTTCTCTATGTTTTCACTCCATACAACAGTACTGGTTTGACATTAGAATTACAAATGTCAAGTGTAGTATTAGTTGTCATTTCTGTTGACCTCCACAAATTCCCTAGTGCTATGAAAGCTCCCCTTGCCTTTTATATTCATATTTTAACATCCCCCATCTTTATGTACATTTCTACCAAACATTGCTTAAGTTAATCAACTAATCAGTTCATTTAATGATGATGTGTTTTGTAAAATTTCGGGTCGGTGGGGGGGGGGGGGGGGGGGATAGATTAAAAACAAATAAGTGTTGGTAAACTGTCTGGAAATGCTGATGAATCATCAGGACATCAATTTACCAGAAGTGACATTGCCTGATGTCATAATGGAAGGTAACTCCCCTCCCAAACAATAGTTTTTTCTTCTATCCAAAAGGTGAAGAGTAGACAGATCAAATTTGGGCCTGGGAATGAAATGTATTAAACAAATTTTGGGTAATTCCTATGGGAAAAATGTGTTTGATATTTGTCATTTTTAATATTCATTCTACCTGTAGGAGTTGATTAGTGATGACTATTGGAGTTCCACTCTACAGACAAAATTAAAGTAGCTTGCATCTAACAAGGTAAAGAGAGACAACAATAGCAGCAGAACAAACCAAGTTACATTTTTTAATAACAATGAATGGTAACTGATGAAATTTAAAAAAGGAGATAAGTGAAATAAATTGACCACATTAAAAGACATAACACTTTTAAAAAACCATACTGGAAGGAAAAGGCGAAGATAATAAAGTAAGAAGTAGACAGTGATACAAGTGGGATGACAACATCAAAAGACTGACAAACAGGAGTCATAGCATACAGTCAAGATGAGATGAGAGACAGCATGTGTTGAAGATTCCTAGCATCCAACCTTCCCATTGGAAATGGTGCCTGGAGGATTGATTCTCTGTTGTACTAGATGTCTAAGCTGTAAAACTCAATATTTCTTCTAACTTTTATTTGACAAACTGCACAAACAAGCATAAGAAAATGAATGAGATGGTTGATTTTTCTAATCATACTGACACATCAAAATGTGTGTCGTTATGTTAGTTTCACTGTCAACAAGCTTACTTAAAAGAGTGTAAAAAAAGGATATATATATTTATCCCTTTTTTTCAACACACACACACATTTAAAAAAAGGATAAATTTCTTAACTCTTTGAGTCACATGGAATGCATCATGTGCTAACTGGTGACAATCCAGCGGCCCAATTGAGGCGTGACAAGTGAAGGTTTTTAATTTAACGATGAGCAGTAATAAAACCCAGACTGCTCAATTTCAACTTCCTTTTGAGTTTTATGTATCTGATATCTGGCCGATATCGTGAAAACATGGTTTAAAAGCCTAAAATATAGTATATTTGCAAGGCTTACCGAGCAGTATTTTACATGAATGCCAACACAATATACGGCCTTAAAAGCCTTAAATTTAAATAAAACGTGTGTTTCTTAGATTTATCCAAAGTTAGATAGATACAGTTGCGAAGTAGACATGTTTAGGTCATTTAAAGAGTCAAACTTTGATAAGGGATAGGTCTTATGTGTACCTCATGTGAAGGGTACAATGATAGAAAGTCAGCTCACACAGAATAAATACTAGTGAAAATGTGATTTTTTTCCTTCTGTGTCAATTAGTTCCAGTGCTATTCACTTTATCATTTAGAAACATAGCTACAAAATTAGAAGCAAATTGAGTGTTACATAAACTTCATTTTGTGTGAAGATAACTTTTTTTTGAAAGTCAGTTATCTTTATCAAAAAATGGGGCTCTGTTATGATGCTTTAAAAGATTCTCTGGAACATTATCTAATGCACAGATTGATTTTACTTATACATTACTAAGTGGTTCACATTCATTTGTAATTCTGTTAGGATATATTTTAACGAGTTTTCCTTGAGTGATATGGTGGTAAGTGGAAATTTTTGTATTTATGTTACTAATTTCTGTAAACATACAGTCTGTTTATTTACTAATATTTAATTAATGACGCAATTATTTGTTGTAGCAGTATTCTATTTCTATTCCCAACAATCCATGATCACTTTGATGTACAATGTGTGTATGTTGCGTGGCAAGTTTAATTAACATTGTCTGTTTTAATGTGTTACACTTTTGAAATTAAATAAATGCATTACCACCCTTTGGGCCTCTGATGCTAAACTCCCCTGAGAATCAAAGAGTTAAACAAAAATGTTTATTGCAAAATAAAAATGTTAAAGTCAAATGACAGCTTCATTTATGAAAACTGAATTTCCCACATAAGACAAATTGACATTGCCCAGATCTGACAAACTGAAAGTTTCACAAATATAACAACTGATAATTTCCCATATGACAGTTTTCAGCTAATGAAAATAAGTTTGACATTAATAATAACTAACAGCTTAAGGTATGTGAAAAACTGAAAACAGACTTTTGTTATGTGCTTGGTTTGCCCGATTTTCAGATCAGCCTGGCTACGTATATGGTTGTTCACTCCATTTTCAAGATTTTGTGATCAGTTATGCATATGTTTGATTTATTCCATTACTAGGAAAAGAAAAGCCTTAATGTTGCGTCTTTTCATTTCATTAGTCTAAAAGTATAAACAAGAAATGGAAATTTCAGTACTATTGGACTATTGCAATCACAGGTTTATCATCCTCCAGGCAAGATTGTGTCACTGCCACCACATGACTTTGATGGCAGAACGTCTTCTGCCAAATACAACAGCCAGCGAAATGCTAGTTACAACAGTCATTTCAAAAGTTGAGATTTGTTATATTATATAGTTTAGCTTCATGACTCCAATATTTCCCAACTGCATGGAAATGGAGTTTTTATCTTTCACTAAACATGCTTCGCGTTAGGGGGAAATGAAAACTAACTAAAAGTACAAATCAGAGATGAGTTGAAAGGTTAGTTAGTTGCTTTTTCCTTTTACAGCCCCTGTCTGTTGTGTGGTTTTTCTAGGCAAATTACGTCCAGTGGTTTGCGATTGCTTTCTGGACGGTCGACTTTCTTGATACCTCTGTCGAAACAATGGGATCAAACCCGGAATCCCGTCATTTCGAAGCGTTCGCATCGACTTAGCCGACTCAAAGAGTTGAAAGCGGACATTAGTTAAAGCACGCATGGGCTCCGTTGACATCAGCAGCAAATAGCAAAGTTTCAATACTTCATATGCCAGCAGGTTCTGACTATACTTTACGCCTGTCTTGCCTTCCCCGTTAGAGTCAAGAGTGAGTGTCAGCCATATACAAAATACAAGGACCTCAAGGGTTAGACTGGATATATTATTTATGGGAAAATCGCTACCGCTTACTTTCCCTAGCTTAACATACTATTTCACTCAAAGACAAGGAATATTGTATAACTTTATCATGCTGATTTCTGTTGTAGAGAAAGAATACTGATTGGTAACAACAAATCTATTTTTGGACCAGACAATTGAGTGAGCCCAGAGGCTCCCTGTTTACTGCGTGTTTCAAATATTTCGACGCTCCCTCCGCATTTTTTTGTCCTTGAGAAGGATAATTTATTCCGGGAGGTGTGCGAGACACACAACCCAGCTTAACCAATCAGGCATCGAACTGGCGACTTTGACAAAACCATTTAGGAAAACATCCAACACTTTTTGCCCGTAAATCATCCGATAAACTAATAAGATCCCAACTCCTGTAGGTTAGACGATCTGGGACACTGCCTCACACAATTCAGCAACCATGTCGACTAACTAGTAAACAATTTATGAATCAATGTGGAAATACTCTCTTCTGATGTGAAATGCGGTGACTTTCTTTTCTGTTGTTGGTTGGAAGTCTTGTATCTATCCCCGCAAGACGCGCTGTTGAGTCTTACGGTATACTCCCCCAACACAACATCGAAAGAATATGTAAATATCTATCCAAAACGAACATTAGCAAAGTTCACAACATTTAATATCACATCAGTTAAGGGTTACAGGCGATTACAAAATAACGGGCTAAGAGTTAAAACCAGCAGACACTGCAAAATAAACAAATGGAACTGGAAACAAACCAATTTTAAATTGGTAAGCAAAAGTTGAGATTTAAAAAAAAAAAAAAAAAACAAAGTAAGAAGCTGAGCAAATCATAATTAAAATGTATAAATCCCTCAAGAGCAAAAAATAAAAATGTGATATGTATACTTATCAATAAAACAAATCCCATATACTGTGAA